AGTGCCATCAGGACTACTACTTCGACACTAATAACAGCACCGGTAGCGGGAAGTGCACAAAGAGATTACTTTACGGTGAAAAGTGTCAAAATACTGACCAGTGTTTCAGTGGCCACAGTGTATGCAATAGTGAGGGCACAACAGATCATTGTATTTGTGAACACAATTACACGTTTGACGCGACGACCAATGAGTGCAGACATAACGGCAGCTATTCTTGTGGTACTGAAGAGGAATGGAATCAATTGAGTGGCAAATGTCAGCCAAAAAACTCTTACAGTCATTACTATTACAACCATGGTGGACATTGTAAATACAAATTAATTATATACCACTTGAAAATATATTAATTTTAATTAATTCTATGTATTTCTAGCTCCGGGCTGGCCATGGGGTCATAGTAATCACCGGAGCAGCACATGTGGCGATGACCCGGACTGCAGGCAATGGCTGTTTTTGATGTTTACCGCGACGTTTATCGTATTTGGCATTTGTTTTTGTCGATTTGTATTGAAAAAGCCTAACAAACCGGCAACAGCCGAGTGCGGGAACACTAGGACTGGACGCCAGGTGCCCGGGATTGTGGTCCGGGGCGCCAATACCGACTTCTCCTGCGCTGTTGTCAACCCTATCGGCAATCACAGGGAGTCGACCACTGGTTCTGGTGGTAATTCAGGCGGCAATTCGCCCCACCATTCGCGGGCTAACTCGCGCACAAATAGCCGGGTGTCCACTGTTTACGGACCGCCGCCGGCGTATAACAGCATCCATGAGAACGTCCCGCTGCCGGACAGTCCGCCGCCACCGCCTTACTGGCCACCGGCGCCCGCATTTATACTGCCTTATACTTCGTCATCGCAACAGCACATCCAGTCGGCCAGCGGTGGTAGTGTTGGCGCTGACCGACAGATTCGCCGCCACTCGGCTGTGGACGACATGTTTTACAATCGTAACCCCAGTCGGTCACCGGCGCGACAGTTCACACCATTGGCCACTAATAATACTTTTAATACTCTGGGCTATAGTCTGCGGCTGAAGGGACAACAGCCCCGACCCCGGAGTACAGACAATAGCCCAGTGAGACATCCGTTGTATGTCGACCTAATACAGGCGCCCACCGCTCCGCCCGTCGATAGTTAACTGGTTTTATTGTTTTGACAATTCATTTATGAGTTTAAGATTTAAGGCTTTATTTAATTGCGGTTGTATTGTATGTTTAAAATCAGGCTTTTTGACCAAGCTTTTTAATTTTATAATTATATTTATTGTATAATTGTAACAATTATACGCACATTTTACATTTTAGCTGCAATTTAGAATGATAATTGTAGTTTATAAAATTTCTCTGCCCCCTGCATTTATAATGTAAGCATAATTATACACATGCCTTTGGATATTACTCATTGAATTTATAAATAAATAATTAATTTCTAACTATTTTTGTATTAATTTATTGCAATTAAAAATATACAACATACTGTGCTTGAAAATATGGTATTATGTAATAAAGGTTATCATAAAGCATTGATCATATTAGTATTACAAGATATTGCTCAATCTATTTCAAACCATGATGCAAGAATTGGCTAAAAATAGAGTCATGTGTTGCTAAATATATAACAAAATCAATATTTCCCCATAGATTCTGTGCTACAGAATGTGTATTCTGTTTAGCGTTAGACACGTTTGGGAATATTCTTGTTTTCCCAATATCTTTCCTCCCAAAAATTGGGAATTTCCCGGAAGATATAAAAGGTGTGGGAACTAACTTTTTCGAGGGAAAATATTTTTTAATTGT